TCCTCATCAACAAGCCATGGAGCAGCTACAGACTGTACTGACTACAGCGCCAGTACTCATCCTACCGGACCCAGACAAGGACTACGTGGTGGAAGCAGAGGCTAGTGACCAAGCAGTCGGAGCAGTACTGATGCAGGATCACGGACGCGGTTTGCAGCCCATCGCCTACCTCGGTAAGAAGCTATACGTAGTAGAAATGAACTACCCCATCCATGACAAGGAAGCCTTAGCTATAGTCGTAGCCTTCAAGGCGTGGAGGTGTAACCTAGAGGGAGCCAAGACTACAGTGTATACTGACCACTGCAGTCTAAAATACGTCAACTCACAGCTGACGCTCTCACGGCGACAGGTGCGGTGGATGGACTTCCTGGAAACTCACTTCCATTTTGACATCATCTACAAGCCCGGGCTACACAACAAAGCAGACGCGTTGAGCCGCCCCAGTCATGATGCAGGCATTGAGCTCGACGGGATGAACCCTCTGCTCAAGGGTTTATTCCAACATGGGTACTCCGTGGATGCAGAGATCGCTACAGCACAGACCAAGAAGCTATTACACCCGTACCGGAGCAGCCATGGCAAGTCGTTAGCCTCGACTTCATCACAGGACTTCCCTCGACCTCACGCGGAAACGATTCCATCCTCGTAGTCATCGATAAGTTCTCCAAAATGGGTCACTACATACCAACCAACGCCACAGCTACAACTGAAGCAACTGCTCGCCTCTTCTTCGACCGCATCATCACCATCCACGGCATCCCAGCTACACTCATCTCAGACAGAGACCCCAAATTCACTCGTAAGTTCTGGAAGGAGCTCATGGGATTGTTGAAGACTAAGCCTCCAATGTCTTCAGCATACCACCCACAGACTGACGGACACACTGAGCGACTCAATCAAGTGATTGAACAGTTACTGCGCACAGCTTGCAAGGACGACGTCAGCCACTGGGACACATGAGAAAGCTAGTATGAGAATGAATCACTAAGAAATCGAAGTGATACAAATATGCAACCCTAGAAATGTGTACCCCATATCAGCTACCCCACAATAGCCTACACAATATTATAATTTGACACACCCCCATAGGCAAAGTGGGGGAGAACAAGGAGTCACAAGACCAGTCAAGCAAAGCAGACAAAGCTCAGGGTGGATCACAACGTCACCACACAGTCCGAGCACAAGGTCAAGGCCACAAGGCCAGTTCACATGCAGGAGTACACATATATATATATATAAGGCTAAACAAGCAAGAGCAGGTATATATATATGTAAGAGTACAAGCAAGGTCAAGGGGTGAGCAAGTGAGGCAAGACAGGCACAAGACCCAGCTGATTGCAGAAGCGCTGATGATCACAAGGCGGAAGTGCCTTGGTGAAAACATCAGCAGTGTTAGCCTCAGAGGCCACGTACGCAAGTCGCAACTGACCACGCTGCTGCAACTCACGAGCAAGGAAGTAGCGGAGAGCAATGTGCTTCGTTCTGTGCTCCAGGCCCTGCTCCCAACACAAGGCTAGCATGGCCTTGTTGTCTACGTACAGCACTGGAGGAGAACGAGGCGGCTCTCCGAGGTCAGTCAGCAGGTAGGTAAGCCAGCGAAGCTCCTGTGCAGCCATGGCCCCGGCGTAGATCTCAGCCTCATAACTGGAGCCTAGAACAGAAGACGAGCGAGTAGCCCGCCACAAAACAGAGCCGAAACCAAGGCTGAAGGTGTTACCCTATGACGACCGTTGTGTAGCCTGGTCATCTGCCCAAGAAGCGTCCGCGTGCCCAGTGAGGACCACTGGACTCCGCCCTCCAAGCACTAGCCCCGTGCCCGACGTACTGCACAAGTAGCGCAACACCCTCTTCGCTGCAGCCATGTGCTCTGGTCTGTGTCTCCCAGGAGCAACATAGCGTGCGAGAATGCTAAGAGGGTATGCAAGGTCAGGTCGTGTGCAGGTCATCAGGTACATGAGGCAGCCAACAAGCTCTGGGTACGGACCACTCGACTCTACGGACTCATCCGAAGGCAGAGCTGAGAGCGAGTGGCGAGTAGATAGAGGAGTGGCCTGAGGCGAGGAGTACGTGAAGCCGAAGCGCTGAAGGACCTGCTGCACCATGTGTGACTGAGTCAAGGTAATGGTGCGGCGTGCTCTGTCCCGAGTGATCTGCAAGCCAAGGTAGCTGCGCAGTTCACCCAGGTCTGTGCACGTGTGTCTCTTCTGCAGCTCGGACTTCACGTGGGCGAGTCCAGCAGTGTCAGCTGTGGCAAAGACCAAGTTGTCGACGTACACGAGGATGTAGAACGGCGGCAGAGAGGTGTTAGTGCGTAGAAACAGCAACGGGTCAGCAGTGAAGGGAGCAAACCCAAGAGCCGCAAGTGTAGTCCTCAGTGTGTCGTGCCACTCACGCGGTGCTTGGCGGAGACTGTAGAGTGGCCGTTGGAGGCTCCACTGGGTGCCAGGAGGGAAAGTTCCAGTGAAGCCAGGTGGACGGCGCAACCAGATCTCCTCGTGAAGGCAACCCTGCAGGAAAGCAGTGCTGAAGTCAAGGGAGTTAAGCTCGTAGTCACGCTGAGCGGCTATGTGTAGCAGCACATGAAGAGTGGTCATCTTCGGGGTGGGAGAGAAGGTCTGAAAGTAGTCAACTCCCTGCCGCTGACTAAAGCCACGAGCCACGTACCGCGCCTTGAAGACAGGTGGAGAGCCCGGCGGCCGCTTCACCCTTAAGATCCACATGCCACTGACGATGTTCGCCCCAGGAGGGGGAACCGCGTCAACGTAGGTGCCTGTGGACTTCGACAAAGCCATCTCTGCATCCATAGCTGCCTGCCACTGAGAGGAGTAAGGACCCTCTACGGCCTCCGCGTAAGAGCGCGGAGTCGGGATGTCTAGTGCATCCGGGTCTACCTCAGGGGTAAGCAGTACGGACGCGAGATGAGGTGAAGCAGCAGCCAGACACTGGAACTCCTCCTGCCTGTCCTCTAGGATGTCCGTGCCAAGAGCACACTCACCCCCGACGGACGGAGGACAGACAGACGCAGACTCAGCAACAAGACTAGCAGCGTAGTCTAGACGACAGCGAGCAGCAAAGTCGACGAGCTCAGCGACAAGAGCAGACGCAGCAGCGGACTCAAAAGAGGGGTCAGTGACGACAGTAGCAAGCAGACGCATGAGAGTAGGACTGGCAGCACGAAGAGAGTCCGACTCAGGGTCGGCAAGCGCAGGAAGAGAGGACTCAGGAGGAGAGGGCAAAGGGGCACGCAGAGGAGCAGTGGACGGACGCAGAGACATCTGGTGCGTGCCAGGGACAGGAGGAGGACGCTGACGCAAACTGCGACCACTAGTGCGAGCAGCACGAACAGGCGATGCAGGATGAGACGCAGGCTCACAACGCTCAGCAAGACCTCTTGTAGGACCAGTGTACGGAGAAGGAGAAAGCAGTGGGGAGGCCGGTGGTAACTGTGACTGCGACTGGACAGGCGGTGGACACTCCTAGGGAGGAGGAAGACCAAGAACGTGCTGAGGAGATTAGGTGCTTCTTGACACGCGCAACTTGAACATGTCTGACCTCCCATCCAAACTCTGACCTCGCTTCTGTGGTCCTATTCTCGTTGAGGCAGAGGTGACACCAGTTACATTCCTCTTGCGCTTACCAGATACATGGAAGCTTCACAACCCTTTCCATGTCCAGCCACTGAAGCCTTACAAGGACCCCAACCAACAGTTTCAGGGACGGCAGCTACCGCCACTACCACTTGTTCTCAGACAGGATGAACCCGAGTACGAAGTGGAGCGCGATCTCGCTCATCGGCGCTGCAGTGGCACGACCCTCGAGTTCCTGATACATTGGAAGGAATGCGACCCCACTGAGGACAGTTGGGTTGCAGAAGTTGATATGGGCAACGCACGCCGTGCTCTCAAGGACTATCTTGTCAAGCAGGGTGTATCTCACACCACCCAGCTTTGAGGGGGGGACGTGTGAGAATACGATGGCTTATGCCAACTATGCTTGCTTGCCTTTACTTTATTATGCTATTTCTAACATAGTATAATATTATGCATGCATGAATTGCTTGATTTCCTAGGCACGGTATCGCTTGGCCCTTTTCTGTGCTTGGAGCGCTGGCAGCAGCTAGAGTTTTCAACAGTTTACATCGTATCGGCGCGGAATATTTTCTCCTAAAGTCGTAGCTTCGTATTTTTGACTCGGTTTGGCAAGGGAAAATGATGTGCGGTTCTGCTGAAGTACGAAACTTATACATGACAAGGCTTTCGTTTTCACCAATTCGCATGCATGAATTACTTGATTTCCTAGGCTAGGTGCTTTCCTATATTTTATTATAGTTATAGCACCGAGCTAGGTTGCGTGCACCGAATTCTGGCTTTTCGGTTGCCACCGAATTGCCTTCTATCGAATTTGGGAAGGATCTGTTCGGGACGCTTCGCGACCCGCGGAACCGTCGCGTAACACCTCGTTACGGGGCCTTGTGTCGAGCCTATATATAGCCTTGTGTTGTACCCATGTGATCATTCAATTACAATTCAAAGTGTCCGAATCGATTGTGACGCGTACGTATAGCATATGCAACCAGGTGTTAGAATGTCGTGCCGCACGTGTTTGTCGCCAAACGTATTTATCATAGGGTGACGTAAAATACGGAACAGACGCCAGCTAATCGCAGGCCAGAGCAGCACTTTCCATCTATCGCACGCGGTGCCAAATGTCAATTCATGTTGCATGTATCTGGACAACATCCCAAAGACCCGACGATCCCCATCAAGGCATACTCTAGACCCTGATTGGTTGACGGGACTCGTTCGGAATTATTGACCGGGCCCCGCAATTCCCGGCAGCGCACTTTCCCCCCAAGTCCAATGCTCTTTCCGCACAATTCGGGCTCCTCCAAACACACAACGGGTTTTTGTAGGTGCACCGTCTATCCTGTCCTATTCAATCTTTTTTGCTTTGCATTCTATCCCTTCAGATCTCGATCTACGTACACCCGCACTGCCAGCATGGCTCGTAAGCGTAAGGTCCAATCCCTTAACGACTCCCCCAAGGATCTTAACGAAATCCCTTACATCCGCTGGATGAACCAGCAGATCGTCGACGGCCGTCATCCGACTGGCTTGTCCACGCCGCCCGCGCTTGACGGGCAGGGTTCTAGGGCACAGTCGCCCAGCGCGGGTCCCTTGCGTGTGCGTCGTCAGCCTGCAAGGACGGCGGCAACTGTGCAGCCCGCTGTGGAGCAAGATGACGACGACGATGATAAGGAGTACCGCGGCGACGAGGAGTACGAGCCTGAGGACCTTGGGATGTCGGACGACGATGACGGCGACAATGATGGCGACGATGACGACGCCGACAACGACGCGGAGGAGGAAGAGCAACCTCTTGCACAGCCGCCGAAACGGGGCGCCGCTCGCGCCTCAGGGACGGACAGGGGCAAAGGCAAGGCTATTGATCCACCGCCACGACAGGAGCCAAGGAAGAAGCGGTCTACTGCACCAATTGAAAGGGGCTCATGGTCGGATAAGGAAAGCACTATCTTTGCCGCCGCGCGTTGGTTCATGAAAGACGAGCTCGAGCCGCTCAAGGGGAAGCAGGGGACGCAGTACTGGGTCCGCCTTCTCGCGCACATCAAGGAGTGGAACCCGGGTTGGTGCTGGAATGTCAATGCGTTGCAAAAGCAATGGCGCAACCTGATGCTGCTTTGGCGGGAGTACAAGCGTGGTGATGGTGGTTCCGGCAACGATTCTGTGGAGACACCGCCATGGTGGCCATATCTGGAGCTGTTCAACAAGGACACCGCCGCAGCCGCACCGCATGCGGTGGATGGCGGCGGTGCCACTAACGTCAACGTGCCGGCCGGCATGGAGGTCCCAAGTGCCTCTCAGCGACACCGACCTTTACTGGTGAGTTGTGATTCTTAAACCGCATGCGCTGTCCGCTCTCGTCCACAAAGATGTTCAACAAGCGCAACACGTATGTGTTTTGCAACAAACGGCATAAACAACATGCAACCTTATGCGCGCTAATCTACCATGCAATTTCTTATGCGTTTCTGTTACAGCACCGACGCCTCAGCACACAGGAACACCCAAGCGCGCGCGGGTTTATGAGACGGCTACTATGCAAGCCGCCATGCTTGTCTCCACGACCATCAAAGATTGTCACGGTGACGCGATGACGCGCATAGAGGGTCTCGTCCGTGAATGGATGGCGCACGACATGCGCCTTGCACGCGAGCGCATGACTGAATCGGCCCCACCGGATTTGCACCGTGCTACGACGGATTTCAGCCCGCCTCCGCCACGCGGGGAGTCCGCACCACCTCCCGGAGCCGCCCAGCCACGCGACGATGTTGGCGACGTCAACACCGTCACATCAGTTGATGAGGATGTGTAGATATGGGTGCGCGGCGCCGACGATTAGCGTAAGAATCTTGCAGAGCTTTGCCCAGTCTATTCCGTCTTTCTCTCAGAGCTTGTTGTGTCGGGGGAGCACAAGGTTCCCACTTGTGCTCCGCGATTGCACCCCGTGTCCACCATGGGTTGCGGTTGCAGGGCAGATTTAAACTAGGCCAAGTTCGTGCGCCTAACCTCTGCCATGTCTTAGCACATGTTGTGAAGGATCACACAACACGCGGCCCCGGCAAGGATGCGCCATAACCTGCAGTCGTTGCACCCGCGGAAGATGCGCCATCTCCCTTTGAATAAGCCAATGCACCTCTCCACCATCATGCGCGTGGCACTATGGCAGTAGTTGAAAGTTTGGGCCCAGTCGTCCATTAAACCCTCTCCGCGCGGTGCATGCAGTGGGGTTAGGCAGTTTTCTCAGAGCGGGTATGCCTCATCCCCAGCAATCTGGTATGGGGTTATGTCCTCGTTGTGTAACCTTTCCAGTAATGCAGAGTCCTTGAAAACACGCATGTCGTGCGCGCTGCCGGGATAACCGATGAGGTAATCCCATATTCTCCCCTGAGCATCACACGTGATTTGGAGCTGTACTGCGTAGGCCGACTTTCTTGTCCAGTACTCGGACCGGTGCCCTTCCATCCCTTTCATATAGATGTGTGTTCCGTCTACAGCCCCCACCACTGCAGGTACACCTTTGACTGCGGCAAATTCTCTCGCCATCTCCGGCAGTTCTTCACGCGTGGGGAAGTGCACCCAGGTGGAATTGAACAAGGCAGGGAACTCGGTGAGGAACACGTCGACAAGCTCGTGGCACAATGTTTTGGAGATGCCAAAGAGGTACGACATGTCGACGAAGGAGATCCTGCTCGCCAGATATTTGATTGGGATGAGCAGCCCAGTGTCCATTGTGATCAATGACCGATAAACGATCGGCTCTATATATTGGCGCATCCCTGTCTTGATATGCTCAAGGATGGCGCGATTGATTCTGAATATGTCCTGGAAGTCGTTCTCCCATATATGTTGCAGGTCGTCAACCCACAGCGCATGGCGTTGCCGCCGTACTCTGGCTCGGTGACAGCGGTTCTCCCCGGTGTCGTCTCCAAGAAAAGAGGACTGCTCGTCGGCGTCTTCGATCACACCGGCCTCAATCATGCCGACGAAGGACTTGGCAACACTTTCGCAAAAAATGGTGTAGTAGTAGGTGACCCATGCGACGAGTAGGCGTAGGATCAAGGGGATGGCTCTAGGCTCCGCCAATTTGCGTATGTCATGCACGTGTCGTGGTCGAAGGTGCGCTTTGTTTACTCTATTTAGCCATTCTTTGTGATGTCGTGCTGGATATTGTACGGCTCTTTGTGGCAATTATTGGAAGCACGGAAAATTACATATCCCTCCGCGGCCTTCCTTGACACCACCAAGGTTCGGTTGCGGGCCTGGTGGTGCTGGTGCGTATGGCTTGCAAGATGAGTGGGCCACTATATGGTCTGACCAATCAGAGTAGTTCGCATATAATGATAAGAAACGAGGAATGAATGCATTGAGCAGAATGAGGAGTACAAGAAGTAAACCCTAAAGTGTTGTACCCCAAATGAATTGCCCCACTACAGCCTACACAGACTATAGCATATATGCCTGACACACCCCCTAAGGCAAAGTGGGGGAGAACAAGGGGTCACACGACCAGTCAAGCAAAGCAAAGCAAGCTCAGGGTGGATCACAACGTCACCACACATTCCGAGCACAAGAGCAAGGCCACAAAGCCAGTTCACATTCAAGATCATATATATAAAGGTAAACAAGCAAGTGCAGGTATAGAAAGAGTACAATACAAACAAGATCAAGAAGTAAGCAATTGAGGCCAAGTAGGCACAAGACCTAGCATAGCACAGAAGCGCAGATGATCACAAGGTGGAAGGGCCTTGGTAAAGATATCCGCAGTGTTGGCCTCAAAGGCCACGTAAGCAAGGCGCAGCTGACCACGCTGCTGCAGCTCACGAGCCAGGAAGTAGCGAAGAGCAATGTGCTTCGTTCTGTGCTCCAGTCTGTGCTCCCGTCACAAGGCCAGCATGGCCTTGTTGTCTACGTACAGCACCGGAGGAGAACGAGGCGGCTCTCCTAGGTCAGTCAGCAGGTAGGTGAGCCAGCGTAGCTCTTGTGCAGCCATGGCCCCTGCGTAGATCTCAGCCTCATAGGTGGAGGTGAGAACAGAAGACGAGCGGGTAGACCGCCACGAAACAGAGTCGGAGCCAAGGCTGAAGGTGTAACCCTGTGACGACCGCTGCGTCGGCTGGTCGTCAGCCCAAGAAGCGTCCGCATGACCTGTGAGGACCACTCGACGTCGCCCTTCAAGCACTAGCCCCATGCCCGACGTACTGCACACGTAGGGCAACACCCTCTTCGATGCAGCCATGTGCTCTGGTCGGTGTCTCCCAGGAGCAACATAGCGTGCCAAGATGCTAAGAGGGTATGCAAGGTCAAGTCGTGTGCAGGTCATCAGGTACATGAGGCAGCCCACAAGCTCTGAGTATGGGCCACTCGGCTCTACGGACTCATCCGAAGGCAGAGCTGAGAGCGAGTGGCGAGTAGACAGAGGAGTGGCCTGAGGCGAAGAGTACGTGAAGCCGAAGTGCTGAAGGACCTGCTGCACCATGTGTGACTGAGTCAGGGTAATGGTGCGCTGTGCTCTGTCCCGGGTAATCTGTAAGCCAAGGTAGCTGCGCAGATCACCCAGGTTTGTGCACGTGTGTCTCTTCTACTGCTCGGACTTCACGTGGGCGAGTCCAGCAGTGTCAGCAGTGGCAAAGACCAAGTCCTCGACGTATACGAGGATGTAGAACAGCGGCAAAGAGGTGTCGGTGCGCAGAAACAGCGACGGGTCAGCAGTACAAGGAGCAAACCCAAGAGCCGCGAGTGTAGTCCTCAATATGTCATGCCATTCACGAGGCGCCTCGCGGAGACCGTAGACTGGCCGCCGGAGGCTCCATTGGGTATAAGGAGGAAACGACCCAGTGAAGCCAGGTGGGCGGCGCAGCCATATCTCCTCGTGCAGGCTGCCAGCACCAGTACCCACAGCGGCAGCACCAGCACCAGAAGCACCTCCAGCTCCAACAGCGCCAACTCCAGCACCCTCAGACGCACCAGCGCCTGCAGAACCACGAGCGCCAACACCCGTAGCAGCTCCAGCTCTAGCAGCTCCAGCAGCACCAACTCCAGCAGGACTGGCGGCTCCAGTACCGCAAACAGCTCCAGTAGGACCAACTCCAGCAGCCCCAGCAGCACCCCCAGGCCCAGCAGCTCCAGCATGGTCAGTACGAGCACCTTCGGAACCTGCTGCAACAATAGTGCCTCCAGCTCCAGCAGCACGGCTCTAGCGCCAGGCAAACCAATTGCGCAGCTCCTGCGGAGAGAGTGGCTCCCGCCTCGACGAAGCACCGCCGGCGGTCACACGAGCAGACCCAGCGCCCCAACGCTCCGCACCCCCAGGCTCCGCACCTCCAGGCTCTGCACCTCCAGACTCAGCACCCCCAGGCTCAGCAGCCCCAGGCTCAGCACCCCCAGGCTCAGCACCCCCAGACTCAGCACACGCAGGCTCAGCACCTCAAGCAGCACCAAAGTAAACAGCTACCTCGACAGACTCGACTACGTCTACCTGGGACACACCTGACGGGGCACGACCCTGAGAGGGGAGGGGGTCTACTGGGGGAGGACCAGGCACAAGGAAGAGCGGCGGCGGGGGAAGGGGCGCAGCGCGGTAGGGGAAGAGACGGTAGTAAGGCACCGACTCGTCAAAGGTAACGTCCTGGGAGGACAGAACACGGCGCGAGGTGGGGTGGTAAAACTGCCAACCAGGCGCCTCAGGGGGGAAGCCAAGGAAGACGCAGAGAACAGCACGGGGAGACAGCTTGTCCGCAGACAAGTCGCGGACAAACGCCCGAGATCCCCAGACCCAAAACGCAAACGCATCGCCAACCTTCCCCGTCCACCGCAAGGTTGGAGAGGTCTCTTGCAAGGAGACCCTGGGCTGAAGGTTGAGCTGATGCGCCGCGTACTGAACCGCAAACGGCCACAGAAAATGGGGGGCAGCCGCATGGATCATGGACGTACGAGCGACGTCCATGACCATACCAATGCGGCGCTCAGCAATCCCATTTTGCTGTGGAAAGGCTGGAAGTGTGAAGGTCTGGCGGATGCCCTGTGCACGACAGAAGGCTCGTAGACGCGCAGAGGAAACCTCTCCGCCTCTGTCAGAGTGCAGACGCTGAACAGGACAGTCCGAGCCAAAACTCTCTCTGAGCTGGAGACGAGCTGCGCGGATCCAGTCAACCAACACCTCAGTGAGTTCACCCTTACTGCGCAAGGGGAAGACCGTGGTGTAACGCGAGAAGTCGTCAACCACCAAGAGGAAGTAACGCTCATGCCCCTGGCCACGGACGCGAGCGGGGCCCCACATGTCCATGTGAAGCGTCTGCAACGGAGCCTCTGTCGAAGGAAACTCGGAGGAGTGAGGGGCGGCGCGTAGTCGCCCCTCAACGCTGGGGACACAGGTAGGGGCAGGCCCTGGAGGTAGGGGAGGGAGAGACCGGGGGAGACCAGAGACAAGGACACGGGAGGCCATGCCTCGGAGACAAGGCAGAAATGGGAGACCAAGTCGGTGGTGCCAAAGGAAAATTCTGGTGAGAAAGGAGACGACACAAGCAGGGAGCAGACTCAGGACTAGACTTGGACACTGTAGCAACCACCAGACTCAACGCAGCGACGTGATGAGGCTCAGCAACCGGAGGAGACTCAGTAGTGAGGGTGTACAGGCCCAACCCTGGCAAACGGGTGAACGTGGCCAAGTGTCGGCCTGTCCGAGCACACATGCAGTGGGTCACCCGCTGTCTTGCGGGAGTGAACAGGTCAACCCCCCTATCCTGTAGATCAGCTCCACTCACCAAGTTCTTAGAGAACGAGGGGAGGTAGAGACTTGAGAGGGTGCCAAAGGGG